TGAATGTGTAAAGGTCTTACTCACATTGGTTACGGAGAGCGTGATCACACAGTCGTATGCAACAGCTGGTGCTCTCATGCATGCTTCAGTGTTGCTTGCCTCGAAGCGAGCATAGAAGTCATTTAGCTCGTCTGGTAGGCTCGTGTCACTGGGCAGCTCGCGGCTGGGCTTCCCTTTGTAGTCCGTAATAGTTTGCAAGCCCTGCCACATCCAACAAGCATCAGGATTGAATCTTAGTCCTGTATTGACGCTTTGCCTGTTTGATGGTTCGTCGGAGGGCATAGTGGGATTTCTTATAAGCGTCCGGGTTAGAGTCCCGCTCCTTGAAAGTGGCAGCTCTACCCTTTAGCTCAGTGCAGATGTTGCCTGTAGTCCATGGCAGAAATGCCCACATGCAGGAACACCCCGAATTGCGGGCTGCAGTTGCACACTGTTGCCCTAGCAGGCAATTGTTGCATCTATTTTCTATGCAAACTTTCTAAATGTCTACAAAAAATCACAGGACAAGTTAATGGAAACATAGCTACTATGCGCACGCAGAATACGCAAAGTGAGTTAACCTAGGACAGGGTTAACCCAGTGCCGGGTTAACTCACGGTACACTGAAGGATTCCATTGTAAATCCACAGACTGTGACTCCCCCTTGCCTAACCCTTTTACCCCTTCCTTTCCCTCTCTCCCTCAATCCCTCCTCCCCTTCATGGGGGACACACAAACACAATGTCCCAGAGCAGTGTTCTTCAGCTTTAGAACTTTCCAGGAAAAGCATAATGAAGAGGAAGAGGAGGAAGAGAGTTTATATGACTAAAACTCAAGGGACAATCTAGGGATAATCTTCAGACGGTACTTTAATCTAACAGAATTAGTACTTTGGATGGTACAGAGTTTGTATGCTAGATTTGACTGAGACTTTTTGTTCTGAGGAGATGTATCTAGAAGAACCAGGAAGTCAGAAATGTGTGTTTGTGCAGGAACAGAACACACATTCCCCAGGAAAGGTCAGAGAGCACAGCACAGGAAACAAAACCTCAGAGGGAGAGCACAAGTAACTCTCCCTCTCACTGTTACTGTCTGGGACTGGGGCAAGGCCAAGGCCAAGGGCCATGGGAAGAGATGGAAGACGATAGATTAGACAGTGCCACATGCAGTGTGTGCAGGCTTTAGTTCCAGCCCAGCACTAACACACCTATAATCAAGGTATTGGTGATTAGTTGATAAGATGAACCACATATTTTAGTGCTGGTCTGGAACAAAAACCTGCATACCACATAGCTCTTCAGGACCGGGAATTGAGGTTCACTGTCCTAGAGATTAAGTTCATGCCCAACGTCTTACCCCTGTTCATCTGATCCTACTCCTCTGACCGGATTTGAAGCATTTGTGGGTGTAGTGCGGAAAGAGAGAGAGTGGTTGTCTTAATCATGTCCTAACAACTCTCCCGGGTCTTAGTCACTTCTCCTCAGGAGCTCAGTAAACAACATTCAAACAGTTCACTCAAACAGACTCTTAGACCTAACAAAGTCTTCCCATACACAAGGCAAAGCTCAGCTGAGTATCAGCCACTGCCACTCTCACACACAGTTAATTAGTGGTGTTCTGTTCCTACATCGTTAGGCTACTTTCAGTTACAAGGTACCGAAGGTAAAGTCATGAAAGACTGAATGCCTCCGCAGTTCATCAAGGGGTGAATCTTAACTTCCACCTTAGCTGAATTTTGACTCTCTCAATGACATCAATGCATGACTAAGTTACATTTGAAACTTAAGTGGAAGTTATGATTCATGCCAGGACATTGCACTCGATGAACAGCTGCAGCATTCTGCAGTGTGCTGGTGTCTACTTTGCTTTCACCACGCTCTCTCTCACACAAATACACACAGATGTAGATAGAACACACTCAGCTCATTGGATAGTCTATGAATCAGACACACACACACCGTTGAGGACGGCTCAAAGCAGGAATGTCTGTGTGTGTTTTGTCGTGGATGTGTCGTTAAAACATACATTCAACCAGTGTGCAGCTGCATGCACTGAGCTCTTTCACTTCAAGCTCTTTCACTTCCTGGTATGCAATTAGACATCCTATTTTATACATTGGGAAAACAGACAATACAGGAACACCAGTCACTTTTTAAATCATATCAGCAGTTTATTGGAAGCCTTTTCCATGGAAATCACCATGGTAACACTTAGGAGACATAAACTAGCATGTTAAAGCAGCACACAGGTAATGTTTGTGAAATCTGACACATTTACAATAACAGTCATGCCCAAGGTTAGTCATTCAAATGCCTACATAGGCCTACAGCAATATTGCCCAGTGTCTAAATTTTATACATTCCAGATTATTCATATTTACATTTCTGCCTGTCTAGGATTTCTGACTCTGTTTTTAATGCAAACACACAGCCTCTTTTAAAGCTCATTACGATAGAGACAGATAGCAGAGTTCTGTCAAATTCGATCCACACACAGTTCATTGAGAAAACTAGCTATATACTTGACTGTGTGTTTGGGTCCTGAACAGTGGGGCCCATGGGCTATAGCTCAGTTACTCAGTCTGACGGGTTAGCCAACTCTGTAAAGTCACACAATTAAAAACAACTCAGAAAACACACATACGAGTTCATAGTGATCATCTAAATATAGTAATTTATACCAGCTAGCAACTGGTCTGGATAAAGTCCCAACAGCCACCCGGAGTCAAAATAACATACAGTGGGGAAAAAAAGTATTTAGTCAGCCACCAATTGTGCAAGTTCTCCCACTTAAAAAGATAAGAGAGGCCTGTAATTTTCATCATAGGTACATGTCAACTATGACAGACAAAATGAGAATTTTTTTTCCAGAAAATCACATTGTAGGATTTTTTATGAATTTATTTGCACATTATGGTGGAAAATAAGTATTTGGTCAATAACCAAAGTTTCTCAATACTTTGTTATATACCCTTTGTTGGCAATGACACAGGTCAAACGTTTTCTGTAAGTCTTCACAAGGTTTTCACACACTGTTGCTGGTATTTTGGCCCATTCCTCCATGCAGATCTCCTCTAGAGCAGTGATGTTTTGGGGCTGTCGCTGGGCAACACGGACTTTCAACTCCCTCCAAAGATTTTCTATGGGGTTGAGATCTGGAGACTGGCTAGGCCACTCCAGGACCTTGAAATGCTTCTTACGAAGCCACTCCTTCGTTGCCCGGGTGGTGTGTTTGGGATCATTGTCACGTTTCATCTTCAATGCCCTTGCTGATGGAAGGAGGTTTTCACTCAAAATCTCACGATACATGGCCCCATTCATTCTTTGCTTTACACGGATCAGTCGTCCTGGTCCCTTTGCAGAAAAACAGCCCCAAAGCATGATGTTTCCACCCCCATGCTTCACAGTAGGTATGGTGTTCTTTGGATGCAATTCAGCATTCTTTGTCCTCCAAACACGACGAGTTGAGTTTTGACCAAAAAGTTATATTTTGGTTTCATCTGACCATATGACATTCTCCCAATCCTCTTCTGGATCATCCAAATGCACTCTAGTAAACTTCAGACGGGCCTGGACATGTACTGGCTTAAGCAGGGGGACACGTCTGGCACTGCAGGATTTGAGTCCTTGGCGGCGTAGTGTGTTACTGATGGTAGGCTTTGTTACTTTGGTCCCAGCTCTCTGCAGGTCATTCACTAGGTCCCCCCGTGTGGTTCTGGGATTTTTGCTCACCGTTCTTGTGATCATTTTGACCCCACGGGGTGAGATCTTGCGTGGAGCCCCAGATCGAGGGAGATTATCAGTGGTCTTGTATGTCTTCCATTTCCTAATAATTGCTCCCACAGTTGATTTCTTCAAACCAAGCTGCTTACCTATTGCAGATTCAGTCTTCCCAGCCTGGTGCAGGTCTACAATTTTGTTTCTGGTGTCCTTTGACAGCTCTTTGGTCTTGGCCATAGTGGAGTTTGGAGTGTGACTGTTTGAGGTTGTGGACAGGTGTCTTTTATACTGATAACAAGTTCAAACAGGTGCCATTAATACAGGTAACGAGTGGAGGACAGAGGAGCCTCTTAAAGAAGAAGTTACAGGTCTGTGAGAGCCAGAAATCTTGCTTGTTTGTAGGTGACCAAATACTTATTTTCCACCATAATTTGCAAATAAATTCATTAAAAAACCTACAATGTGATTTTCTTTTCTCAATTTACATTTACGTCATTTAGCAGACGCTCTTATCCAGAGCGACTTACAGTTAGTGAATACATATTTTTTTATACTGGCCCCCCCGTGGGAATCGAACCCACAACCCTGGCGTTGCAAACGCCATGCTCTATCAACTGAGCTACATCCCTGCCGGCCATTCCCTCCCCTACCCTGGACGACGCTGGGCCAATTGTGCGCCGCCCATGAGTCTCCCGGTCGCGGCCGGCTGCGACAGAGCCTGGATTCGAACCAGGATCTCTAGTGGCACAGTTAGCACTGCGATGCAGTGCCTTAGACCACTGCGCCACTCAGGAGTCATAGTTGACATATACCTATGATGAAAATTACAGGCCTCTCTCATCTTTTTAAGTGGGAGAACTTGCACAATTGGTGGCTGACTAAATACTTTTTTTCCCCACTGTACATAATCTCAAGGACGAAATACACTCAGATAACACTCTCAAAAAGGAAAAACAATGTGTACAACTTGGAAATAATCTGAAAACATTTTCAAGTAATCAAAGTGAAATACCTTGAAATACCTGAATGTTTGTACACCATCCTTATCTATAAAAAATATTTTTGCATGAAAATAGCTTCAATTTCTAAACACTAATAGCCTACTGAGATCATTTAGTTGCTCTCAGAAATTACAAAAATATATTTGTTCAACAAGTAAAGAATTCAAAGTAATTACATCTTATGTTATCAAGGCGTACACGTGTGTGTGTGTTTTTGTGTGTCTGTGTCTGTGTGTGTGTGTCTGTGTCTCTGAGTGTCTGTGTGTCTGTCTGTGTCTGTGTGTGTGTCTGTGTCTCTGAGTGTCTGTGTGTCTGTGTGTGTTTGTGTGTGTGTGTCTGTCTACTACTGCATGCATGTTTCTTTGTCTAATTATCTGTCAACATGTACGGTGCAGTTCAGAGAGAGTTCAGAGGGAGTCCACAGAAGGCAGGTCGGAGGTGAACAGCTCCTTGTATAGAGGAGGGAAGACAGAGTGGACGGTGAGCGGGTAGCGCTGGCTGAACCAGATCAGCTTCTCCACATGCAGACTGCACAGAGACTGCAACACTGACACCTTCTGGTAGAGCTGGGGACAACACACACACACAGCTAGTCAATGACAGTTCTACACACTGTATCCAGTGATGTCATAGAGGGTAAACACTCACTACTCTCTCAAACTTGAATGCGTGAGTCTGTGAGTGTGTGAGTGTGTATGTGCGCGTGTGTATGTGCGAGTGCCTGTGTGTGTTACCTTGTTCAGAAGGCTCTCCTGGTTGTCTCTGTGTAGCATGTGTCTGAGGCATCTGTCCAAGTCTCTCCTCATTCTATGTACTCTGCCTCCATCCTCAAGACAGGGGCGATCTACACACACAGGAAAAATATTAAAATATATTATTTATATGATGTTCTATGACTTTACTATTCTATGACTTTACTGATCTATGACTTTACTGTTCTATGACTTTACTGTTCTATGACTTTACTGATCTATGACTTTACTGTTCTATGACTTTACTGTTCTATGACTTTAGTGATCTATGACTTTACTGTACTAAGATTATCTGCAGTATCATTTTACAGAATGTGTGTGCATTTGTGTGTCTTACCTGGGTTAATGAGCACCAGTGAGCTGAAGAGAGCCATCTGCTGCTCAGTCAGTCTCAGGGCACACATACTGTGAGCAAAGTCAAACACCGCCACAATCAGATCGCCACAGCCTGCAACAACACAGTTAGCATAGTTAGCATCACTAAGACTAGGAACCAATTGCCTAAGCTAATATGAGATAGTGTCCTCCGTAATTATTGGGACAGGGAAGGATTTTTTATTATTTTGGCTCTATACGCACAAATATCATACAGCCTCTACATTAATGTATAAGTGTTTGCAAACATATTCTTTACAATAAAAGTGACTCCAAAATGACACAATGCATTATTTACCATTCATTTCTATTGGGCACAAAATAATCTGAAACACAACCAAAACAAACAGCAAATGCGTCCAACACATTTTTTGAGTCACAAGCTTGATGTAGTCATTGCATGCAAGGAATATGGGACCAAATACTTACATTTACATTTTTACTACTTTAATACACATATAAGTGAATTTGTCCCAATAATTTTGGTCCCCTAAAATGGGGGTGCTACAGTACATTCGGAAAGTATTCAGACCCCTTGACGTTTTCCACATTTTGTTACAGTCTTATTCTAAAATTGATTAAATTGTTTTTTCCCCCTCATCAATCTACATACAATACCCCATAATGACAAAGCAAAAACAGGTTAGTAGAAATTTGTGCAAATGTATATAAAAAAAAAAAAAACTGAAATATCACATTTACATAAGTATTCAGACCCTTTACTCAGTACTTTGTTGAAGCACCTTTTGCAGCGATTACAGCCAAGAGTCTTCTTGGGTATGACACTACAAGCTTGGCACATCTGTATTCGGGGAGTTTCTCCCATTCTTCTCTGCAGATCTTTTCAAGCTCTGTCAGGTTGGATGGGGAGCGTCGCCGCACAGCTATTTTCAGGTCTCTCCAGAGATGTTTGATTGGGTTCAAGTCCGGGCTCTGGCTGGGCCACTCAAGGACATTCAGAGACTTGTCCCGAAGCCACTCCTGCATTGTCTTGGCTGTGTGCTTAGGATCGTTGTCCTGTTGGAAGGTGAACCTTTGCCCCAGTCTGAGATCCTGAGCGCTCTGGAGCAAGTTTTCATCAAGGATCTCTCTGTACTTTGCTCCGTTCATCTTTCCCTCTATCCTGACTAGTCTCCCAGTCCCTGCTGCTGAAAAACATCCCCACAGCATGATGCTGCCACCACCATGCTTCACTGTAGGGATAGTGCCAGGTTTCCTCCAGACGTGACGCTTGGCATTCAGGCCAAAAAGTTCAACCTTGGTTTCATCAGACCAGAGAATCTTGTTTCTCATGGTCTGAGAGTCCTTTAGTTGCGTTTTGGCAAACTCCAAGAGGGCTGTCATGTGCGTTTTCCTGAGGAGTGGCTTCCGTTTGGCCACTCTACCATAAAGGCCTGATTGGTGGAGTGCTGCAGAGATGGTTGTCCTTCTGGAAGGTTCTCCCATCTCCACAGAGGAACTCTGGAGCTCTGTCAGAGTGACCATCGGGTTCTTGGTCACCTCCCTGACCAAGGCCCATCTCCCCCGATTGCTCAGTTTGGCCGTGCGGCCAGCTCTAGGAAGAGTCTTGGTGGTTCCAAACTTCTTCCATTTAAGAATGATGGAGGCCACTGTGTTCTTGGAGACCTTCAATGCTGCAGAAATATTTTGGTACCCTTCCCCAGATCTATGACTTGACACAATCCTGTCTCGGAGCTCTACGGACAATTCCTTCGACCTCATGGCTTGGTTTTTGCTCTGACATGCACTGTCAACTGTGGAACCTTATATAGACAGGTGTGTGCCTTTCCAAATCATGTCCAGTCAATTGAATTGACCACAGGTGGACTACAATCAAGTTGTAGAAAGATCTCAAGGATGATAAATGGAAACAGGATGCAGCTGAGCTCAATTTCGAGTCTCATAGCAAAGGGTCTGAATATAATATAATAATATGCCATTTAGCAGACGCTTTTATCCAAAGCGACTTACAGTCATGCGTGCATAATTTTTTTTTGTGTATGGGTGGTCCCGGGGATCGAACCCACTACCTTGGCGTTACAAGCGCCGTGCTCTACCAGCTGAGCTACAGAGGACCACAATAAGGTATCTTTTTTTTAATATACATTTGCTAAAATGTCTAAAAACCTGTTTTTGCTTTGTCATTATGGGTTATTGTTTGTAGTTCGATGAGGAAAAAAAATATTTTAATCTATTTTAGAATAAGGCTGTAAGGTAACAAAATGTGGAAAAAGTCAAGGGGTCTGAATACTTTCCAAATGCACCGTATGTACCCAATACAGATGAAAACACCCTAAAATTAAAGCTGACAGTCTGCACTTTAACCTCATAGTCATTGTTTGATTTCAAATCCAAACTTCTGGAGTATAGAGCCATAAGAATAGAACATCCTTCACTGTCCCAATAATTACGGAGGGCACAGTAGCATCCATTCAATAGCTAAGACTAGGAACCAATGGACTTACCCAGAGACTTGAAAAGTTCAGTGCTGGCAAACTTCCCATCGAAGAAGACGGTGCTGTTCTCTGTGTTAAAACACCTGCTCATTCTGACCAGAACTACCTCCATCGAACCTGAGAGAGAGCGAGAGAGATGGAGGGAGGGAGGGAGAGAGAGAGGGGGGGGGGAGAGAAGATTTAGTAATGGCAATGTGCACTTCTTACAGGAAGACTTTTGTTGAGAGAGGGGAGAGATGATAGTAGATTAAGGAGTGATTGACAAGTGGGTTCGGCTCACCAGTCTTCAGCAGGGTGATCTGGTCGTTCTGGCCGAGCCCACGGAACCCTGGGATGCGTTTGGCAAACTCCACCACGTACTGTACCGCTTCAGTCAGCCTCATGGCACAGTGCTGCCACATCTCATCTACTGACTGGAGACAGCGGGAGGAGAGGGAGGGGGAGGGAGGGAGAGGAAGGGGGAGACAGGGAGGGAGAGGGAGGGAAGGAGAGGGAGGGAGGGGGAGGGAGGAAGGGAGGGAGGGAGGGAGAGGAAGGGGGAGCGAAAGGGACAGGGAGGGAGAGGGAGGGAGGGAAGGAGAGGGAGGGAGAGAGAGAAAGTGAGGGAGGGAGAGGGGGAGACAGGAGAAAAAGAGAGATGTGAGGGGAGTGGGAATTCCAAAAAAGAGGTGAGAAGGAGAAGAGAGAGACAGGATGCCTTCACTTGAGTTCAGGGGTCAGAGTTATTTTAACTTATTAATAAAACCCTTATTTTTTACTGACGACTGACTGATGATGATTTATATGAGACCAGTGATGTGTTGATACAGTACCTTGCTCTGGTAGGCATGGATCTCCTCTCTGCTGAACAACTTCCATCTCAGAGCCTGCAGTTCCTCCAGTCTGAACTGACTGGTGTCCCTATGGGAGCGCATGATACTGCCACACAGCTCTTCTATGTGTAGCAGGGAGGGGAAATAGGATTCGTCTGGGTCATAGGATCTAATTCCCATCCCTATCGTCTGGTCAGGAGACGGCTGACGGGAGTCGAACCCTGAAGAAGAGGTAGTGAGAAGGGGGAAGGGGGGTAATAGATATTAAACAGTGCTAGTCTGATTATGTGTTTCGTGTGTGTGTATGTGTCCCTTACCTCTTTCGTATGAGTGCCCACTGCCAGGAGACACACAGGAGCCCTGGTAGGCCAGACCTGGGGCCTGGGACTCGCCTGGGGAGCACACCAGGTAGGGGAGCACATCTGTCGGGCAGGGTGGCAGCTCTGGCTCTCCAGGGAAGGAGTAGGCCGAAGCCAGGGGCTGGAGCAGGTGGGGTGACCGGTTACGGCGTGCCTTGCTTGGGTAGGGCAGGGCTGGCTGGGCCTCTGCCTGGAGATGCTGCTGCTGCTGACGGTGTCTCTCCACCTCGGCATTCAGAGAGTCCCGCTGACGTTTTGACATCCGACCAAACTTCACAGCTGGGGAAACAAAAACAGTTGGTGGTGGAGTTGAGTTGAATTACCCTTATATAAAGTCAAGTGTGTATTTATTCAACCTTTATTTTACCAGGAGACATCTTAGTTTTTTATGTGTGCGTGCGTGTCTCACCATCCCGGCTCATGCCCTGGTTCACACACTTCTGCAATCGGCAGCTCTGGCAGCGGTTGCGGCTGGCTCTGTCTATAGGACAGTTACTCTGTCTGGAACAGGAGTAGGACACGGACGGCAGCTGGCTACGCCGGAAAAAACCCTGAGGGGGAGAGAGGACCATTGACATAACCAATGAAACCACTGGAAATAAGTCATCTGACCACACGGTTTGTTATGTCTGCTTGGTCAGAGTGAAATGAGGTGTGTAGTGCTGCAGTCTCACCTTGCAACCCTCGCAGGTGATGACTCCATAGTGAACTCCTGATGATTTATCCCCACAGATCTTACAGGGAATTACCTCAATCTGAGCTACACACACAATAACACATACATTACAGTTAACACACACATTACAGTTAACAGTAACACACACACCTGTGGACTACGTTGGCCAGCAGAGAGCAATGAGACAATGTCCAAACCCAGATCTTTCAGAACTACAGTGTGAGCCCATTCAAAACTGTCTATCAAGGAGATAAGGGAGAGTTTAGGGGGAATTCGGGAGAGTTAGGGGGAGTTAGGGAGAGTTAGGGGGAGAAGAGAAAGTGAAATATAGATGAGGGTAAAGAGAATTGAGGGCAGGAAGGGGAAAGAGAAACCTAGACTGCAGAGAGGTAACATTAACACCAAAATCAGACTGAGAAAGTTGGTTGACCACAAAAATATGGAGTGGAAAACTGGTTTTTGGTCTGTGTACGTGACACCTGTCTACATGACACCTGCGTTGTGTGTGTTCAGTGGGTATGTCAGTATATCTCGTTGACATTTTATGGAAACTTACTGTGAATGTGGCTGAGTGGTGAGGTTTGACCATTCCCCTAACAAATCAACAACACTTCACATGAACACACACACATAACGCAACTTTGCTACAATAATACAGGCTTGTTAAAAAAGAGACAATTTGCTTGGTTGTTTTTCCCCTCCTCTAAGATCATCAAGGTCATCAAACGTTGTAAACAGAGTGAAAGAAAGAACACTCTGTTTTCCTCTCATTAGCATTTCTTACATTATTAAAAATGAACCGAATGACATCAAATACACAGAGACAGAAGAGACACAACAGTAGAGGGGGAATATTTGCAAATGGAGAGAGGAGGAGGAGGTGAAGGTGTCAACCTCAGTCTTTTTAAGTGGTTAACTGGCTTCTCTTTTGCTCTGACTATCCTTCTTTCATCTCACCTCTCGCTCTCTCTATCCCTCTCTCTCTCTGTCTCATAAAGGATAGTGCTGCCAGTAATAGAGTCTTTCATCTTGGTTGACACTGCCAGGAATGTCCATCCCCCTCTTCCTCCCCCCTCCCCCTTCCCCCATCCCCCCATCTTTCATCCTCATCATTCCACAAATCATACATTATTACATTCAGAACATTTGAAAATAAATACGCTATTCTGATGTGATTTTAGAGTTCAGGAAGAGTGTTTGTCTTTCTTTGTGTTGGTGTGTGTTCTAAGTTAGTTTGTCAAGCAGTGAGACAATGGCTTGTGTTTACGGTACAGCAATACATTGTGTGAATAGTGTGTGTGTGTCAGTGTGTCAAGTGTGTGTGCCCTCATTTCAGGTGCCACAGGAATCTCCCAGAGGCCGTAAGAGAGGGCAGTCAGCAGTGAAACTGAGAAACCCCCTGCACATCTGATAGAATACACACTATACTGCACATCTGATAGAATACACACTATACTGCACACCTGATAGAATACACACTATACTGCACACCTGATAGAATACACACTATACTGCACATCTGATAGAATACACACTATACTGCACATCTGATAGAATACACACTATACTGCACACCTGATAGAATACACACTATACTGCACATCTGATAGAATACACACTATACTGCACACCTGATAGAATACACACTATATGCACATCTGATAGAATACAATAACTGCACACCTGATAGAATACACACTATACTGCACATCTGATAGAATACACACTATACTGCACATCTGATAGAATACACACTATACTGCACACCTGATAGAATACACACTATACTGCACACCTGATAGAATACACACTATACTGCACATCTGATAGAATACACACTATACTGCACACCTGATAGAATACACACTATACTGCACACCTGATAGAATACACACTATACTGCACATCTGATAGAATACACACTATACTGCACATCTGATAGAATACACACTATACTGCACACCTGATAGAATACACACTATAACCCTAAAGACTGCATGGATGGTATTGTCTATGTGCAGGAAAACAATGAACACTTCATGAATAGACTGACTAATTGAGTGAGAATGTGAATGAGAAAGTGGATAGACAGAATGGATGGGTGGGTAGATAGAACAAGTAGAGTCACAGCCTGCAACATTGTATAGAGAGAGAGAGAGAGCAAGAGTGAGAGAGAGAGAGAGAGAGCGTCAGTGGTCTCTGTTTTTTGCTCTCTCAGTTCTGATTCTCAACCTCAAACAACAGGAAACCAACCTGACCCACAACCTTTCACTGTTGATGCACACACATGTATGTTTCTATCTATTCCATTCATTTGGGATTGAGGACCAGTATGTACAGCAGGCGTTTCAGCAAAGGACAACAGAACGTGGAGAGGACTACATTTGAGGCTGAAAACCAGTAGGATCACAAGCAGCAAACTGTATTCCATCTCGGCACATATCTAAACACTATGTACTCTTATTATCTCACCGAGATGATATGGCTATGATTAGTGGTTCTCTTCTCTACCTAGAGCATGACGCGAGTATAGAAGAGCGATGATGCGGGAATGACGAGAGATGATCTCTCTCTGCGATAGAGGATCTCTCTCTCTCCTCTCTCTCCTCTCTCTCTCCTCTCTCTCTCTCTCTCTATCTCTCGCTCTCTCTCTCTCTCTCTCTCTCTGCTTCTATCTCTCCTCTCTCTCTCTCTCTCTCTCTCTCTCTCTCTCTCTCTCATATAACTCCAGCACCTTGACCAGTCAGTGATCTCCTGTGGTGTGCACAGCAGCCCTATCTTTAACTGTTACAGGCGTCTCTACCCAAGGCAGCCCTATCCATCTAGTTAAGGACAACAGCTAACCTGGCTCTCCAACTTCAACAGAGCCGTCATTTACCCAGCCTCCCGTAATTCTGACAAAGGTACTCACCAAACCACATATTCAGCTATCAACAGACTTTCCCATCTGTTGATAGCACCAGTGGTGGTATTGCTGGAGCGGATGAGGAGCGACGGCAGCTAGCTAATATAACATGACCTCCTATACTTCCGTCTCCTCTGACTAGTCACCATGGTAGTGTCTGCTACTGCACTATGGGCCTGGGACATCCTACACACTAACAACCAGCAGCTCGTGTAGGGCTGGCAGGTGGATCCATGTTACTGTTCTCAACCTCTACTTTACTTTACAATCTCCCTTCAGTGTAGTAAATGATGATATGGTCTCGGCAGTTACTGACATGATGCTATTGTCACGGAGTTCTCAGTCCCCCCTCATCCCAGCCCTTATCTCTTTAGCCGAACCAGCTATAGGCCAGCTACAGAAAAGAGGGGGAATTCTGGATCTAAATTAAGAAAGAAAAGCGGGAGAGAGAGGTGAGAGAGAGAGAGAGATAAAAGAAGATGAGCGTAACAGCGAGCGAGAGAGAAGTGACTGGTAAGGAGAGAGGGAGAGTGGGGATAGCGAGGTAGAGCAAGAAATACTGTAGAGGAGCGAGAGCGATAAATGTTATGCAACACTAGTCCACAGATACACATATAATCTCTATTCCCCTCCCTCATCATCTTCCCTCTCTGTCAATGAGCATCAGAAATCACCTAGGCTACAACTGGATTGCATTAGCCGCCCCTACATACAAGTACACTGCCTTCGGAAAGTATTCAAACCACTTTACTTTTTCCACATTTTGTTGTGTTACAGCCTGAATAAAAAAATCGATTAAATATGATTTATTTTCACACAGACACACAATACCCCATAATGACAAAGTGAAAATATGTTTTTAGAAAATCTAGCAATTTTTTTGAAAATGCAATACAGAAATATCTCTATTCACACCCCTGAGTCAATACCTTGTAGAAGCACCTTTAGCAGCAATTACAGCTGTGAGTCTTACTGGGTAAGTCTCTAAGAGCTTTCCACATCTGGATTGTGCAACATTTGTCTATTATTATTTTCAGAATTCTTCAAGCTCTGTCAAATTGGTTGTTGATCATTGCTAGACAATGATTTTCAGGTCTTGCCCTAGATGTTCAAGTAGATTTAAGTCAAAACTGTAACACGGCCACTCAGGAACATTAACTGTCTTCTTGGTAAGCAACTCCAGTGTAGATTTGGCCTTGTGTTTTAGTGTATTGTCCTGCTGAAAGGTGAATTCATCTCCCAGTGTCTGGTGGAAAGCAGACTGAGCCAGGTTTTCCTCTAGGATTTTGCCTGTGCTGAGCTCCATTCCATTTATTTATTATCCAGAAAAACTCCCCAGTCCTTAATGATTATATGCATACCCATAACATGATGCAGCCACCACTATGCTTGAAAATATGGAGAGTGGTACTCAGTAATGTGTTGTATTGGATTTTCCCCAAACATAACACTTTGTATTCAGGACAAAAGGTGAATTGCTTCACCAAATTTTTCGCAGTATTACTTTAGTGCCTTGTTGCAAACAGGATGCATGTTTTGGAATATTTTTATTCTGTACAGGCTTCCTTCTTTTCCCTTTGTCAATTAGGTTAGTATTGTGGAGTAACTACAATGTTGTTGATCCATCCTCAGCTTTCTCCTATCACAGCCATTAAACTCTGTAACTGTTTCAAAGTCACGATTGGCCTCATGGTGAAATCCTTGAATGGTTTCCTACCTCTCCGGCAACTGAGTTAGGAAGGACTCTTGTATCTTTGTAGTGACTGGGTGTATTGATACACCATCCAAAGTGTAATTAATAACTTCACCATGCTCAAAGGGATATTCAATGTCTGACTTTTTTTTTTTTACCCATCTACCACTAGGTACCCTTCTTTTTGAGGCATTGGAAAACCTTGCTGGTCTTTGTGGTGGAATCTGTATTTGAAATTCACGGCTCGACTGAGGGACCTTAAAGATAATTATATGTGTGGGGTACAGAGATGAGGTAGTCATTCAAAAATCATGTTAAACACTATTATTGTACACAGAGTGAGTACATGCAATTTATTATGTGACTTGTTAAGCATATTTTTACTCCTGAACTTATTTAGGCTTGCCATAACACAGGGGTTAAATACTTATTGACTCAAGACATTTCATCTTTTCATTTTTAATTCATTAGTAAAAATTTCGAA